GCTGTGACCTGGAATAAAACGTCACACACAAACATCTTGATTAATTTCGCGCGTGTTTGCTAGTGTCTTGATTTTGAGTAATTTTGTCATTTTTTTCACTTGTTTACTCGGTTTGTTTCAATGGCCGATTTATATGGAGCATTAATAAATGTGCTAGGTATTAGTGAGACAATCCATCGCAATTATCAACAAATACATGATGTGGGCCTAGTCCAAAACGTCACAATTTAGCGCCCCCAATAGTTGAATCTGTACGAATGGTTAGTTTCACCATGGCCTGTGGTAAAACTAACCACGTCGATAAATCCCAGTGCGAACGACAGGAAGTTTACCCATTGGAATGTTACCCACAGTCTCGGTAAAAATTTCCCTATTTTAAATCCAGTGCGATTGCGGCTTTAGGGAGTGGAGTTGTTTTGGTTGTGAGAAAAAATTCTGTTACCATGACAGGAATTGATCCCAGGACCCTGGGATTGGAAAGCAAGCACCTTAACCAACAAGATATTCAACTCCACTCCGAATAGTGGTTATAGTGATGATGATGATGGTGATGATGATTTAATACATATGAATTAATAAATAATGAATGTTAAATCATGATTATTCAGTAGGTGATGAAGATGTTGATAATGATGATAAACATTATTCAATTCAATTCATAAAGAACAAAGCACTGAAACTAGTGATGCAATCCATTCAGATTTAATACCTCAAACTTTATTTATTCATTTTATGATATTTATAATTTAAAAAGATTAATTAATTTTTATATTCCATTTGTTATTTTGGAAAATAATTTTAAATGTATATATTCATTTACTAGCATGGGAAGGTCATGAGGACCAGCTGCTTGGCATCAGTTGGAAACAAGATGGCACCCTCTTGGCATCCACTGGGAAGGATAAGAAGATCAAGATTTGGGATCCTAGGAATCCAGGCAACAACCCTTCTGTAATTGTATTTTTTATTATCGTTGGAATCACAGGAGCTACACAGTTGGTCTTTAATGTACCTTCCTTTTAGCGAATAATCGCGTATAATGGATTCTAATTGCTGTTATTTATTGACTGGAACAATCGTAATAGGGTCACCGACGAACAGGTTAACAACATGACACCCCCACCCCCAAATCTAAATTTATGCTTCTGGGTGAAGAAAGGCAAACGTAAGTAAAGTGTCTTTCCCAAGGACACAATCAATGTGACGAGCGTCAGTCTCAAATTCCCGATCTCACAATCAGAAGTCCACACACTCCTGCGCCACACACTCCTATAAATTTCGACTATAATCTAATACAGTAATACTATTTATGTAATAATTCATACAATTTATGTAATAATTCATACTATTTATGTAATAATTCATATTAGTCGTTAAATAGCATGTATAACACATTATTTTTTATATGTATCAAAATAAATAATTGTATTTATGAAAGCTTCAATGGCGCAATTGGTTAAAGTGTCCGCATAGACAACAGAAGGTCCCAGGTTCGAATCCCGGTTGTGGGAATTGTTTTCACACGCGCAGGTTCCTGTTCTTATCGTTTGCAATTTATATGTACAAAGCAATGCCACAAGACTATTCAGAACTTATCTTCTCATGTGTATCTTTTCTGGTTACTGTAGTTGTAAATATTATTTAACTATTTCAGGCCACTGGTGGGCATGACAACCACAAGGATTCCAGAGTTTGTTGGCTTGGCAATGAAGATCTTCTGTTATCAAGTGGTTTTAACAAGGTATGTATATTCAAAAAAGTCCTTTAGTTTTTGTTTTTTTTAATAATGATCAAATTACTTTATTTAGCTTTGAGTGTAGAAAGATACAGTAGATACCCTAGTAAGGGTACACCTTTGGGGACCAGAAAAAGTGTCCCCTTAAGGGTGTCCCCTGAGTGGGGTTGGCTATAGTGTTAAAAGATATACTTTCATTCGTTTTGTGGCCAAAATACTGTCCCCTTAATAGGGGTGACCAAAATTAGGGGTACTATTGTAATATCGAGAATGCGGATTGAAAGCTATGAGAAACAACCCTTAAATTTGACTTAACATGAATGAAATTTGATATTATTTTTCTTTATTATGTTAACTGCTTAACTCAAGAAGATCGTATCATTGATTTTTGTTGTTATCTTAAAGACAAGACAGAGCGAACTAATCATGTGGGATGCAAGAAATCTAGGGGCGAGTCTAACAAGCCAAGCCATGGGGACGTCTACAAGGTGTGTATCATTGATTAATATAGTGTAAAGTGGTTACAACCGCCCCTCAACCCCACCAACCAAGGATCACTTCATGTCTCAGCTACCCGGTAATCTGGTCCCACCTACTCTTGTCTGCTCACTACAGGGCCTGGAGCGACCAGTACATGGGGATGACTGACTACACTTTAAAAAAAAATATACTAGGTTCTTTATTATGCACATCAGCCAAATAATTTGTACACTGGACTGAAGGTTTTTAGTCCTTACCTGAGAAGATTAGCACCACCACCAGAAGTGTAAGTGAGCCCTAACCATTCTGCCAGTTGACTCACTTTTTAAAAGCTTTTTCTATGTATTTAGGAGGATGTGTTAGTTAATTTCTTACCATCTTACCATACAATTTTATTTTCTTAATACCTCACTGTTAAAACTATAATAATTGCTTATGCTGTTACTTCTGTATTTAAAAAAAGCTGTGGAAATTTAATATTAATATTTTTATTTGTGTTATATTTAATATTTATATTATTTGTAAAATTAATAATATTTAAAACACAACAGTAATTAAATAATTAATGATTCTATAATTCAACATTTTTTTACAGTGCTCTTATTCCATTTTATGATGCTGATACAAAGATGTTATTTATTGCATCTAAGGTAATTTCATAATAATTCCTGATTTTACTTTAAATTTAAGTATAAAATTGTATAAAGAAAAATTGAATTTTAAGGATATCAATGGAAAATTTCTGCTTGATAAAATATAATGAAATTTGTAGTTTTATAAATACTGGGTTTTGCAGTTATATAAATAAATTTATATATTTTATTTGATAGGGTGCTACTTCAGTAACATACATGGAGGTTACAAATAGCCAACCTTATATTACACAGAGTAAGTATATTTATTGTAGTGGTTGGTGTAGTGATTTAAGATCCACCTCTTCAGTTTGCTAGTTTGAATTTCTTGCTGCATATTTTTATTTTTTATTTTTTTGGCTAGCTGAGACACCACATGTTTAACTGAAGTGCAGTACATTTACGAAAATACTCATAGAGCCCCCTTAATTATACCTTTTATACTCTGTACACATTATCTTTCAATTTTAGATATTTTATTTCTGTGATATTTAATAGACTCTGTCTACATGGGAAATGCTCAACAGAAAGGTGTTGCTATGGTACCAAAGAGGGCGCTAAATGTCATGTCATGTGAGGTCAATCGTCTGCTACAGCTTACCAAAAATGCAATTCTTCCATTGTCTTATGAAGTGCCTCGTAGGGTGAGCAATTTTTGTTTTACAATTACAATCCGAATTCTTAGATGATTATTTAAATAAAAACCGATTTCTGTATATATAATAATTATTACTATTATTATCCTTATAATTATATTCCAGTTCTTATGCTTTTTCTCATGTTTATTTAGTCGCATCGTGAATTTGCGAGTGAACTTTTTCCCGATACACCTGGTTATGACCCCGCCATGACAGCAACCGAGTGGTTTCAAGGAGAGAGCAAAGAGGTGAGAAAGCAAGATGAATTCTAATCCATTAATTAAAAAATCAGAAATAGAATATACTGTTTTGTTCCGTGTTATCTACTATTATGATCTATCACATTTTAGTTATTCTCAAACCTGGAGGAAAAAATCCAGAAGGGGCTTTTTTTCATAAAGGTGGAACAACAGTACATACCCAACTCAGTAAAACTATGTTTGGAAAAGATTTTAAGGATATAACACCTCTGATGTCCATAAATGGCACTCTATCCAGTATGTTAAAAAATGCCAAATTTCAAATATTTTCAACAAATTGTTTTACTAATAATTTAAAAGGACATTTCTGGACTTTTTTAGATAACCCAGGCTACAGACTAGGTTGTTATATATACTCTATATTTTCTTTTATAGGTTGCCAAAATGTCATTGGATCCATCTAAACGTCCACCAGTAACTAAGAAAAGTTGTACAAAAGGAGGATATGATCCAGCACCTACACCAGTAGAAAAGGTATGCATATGGAACAGCCTTTGTAAAGTTTGATTTCACTGCCAACAATTTTGAAGGGCTTTGACTAAAATTTATTGTGGAACTTTTATTCTAGAAGGAAGTAGTAAGTATCCAAAAACCAGAAGAAAAACCCTTTATTCCTGCAAATAAACCAACCATTACCCAGAATTCAGGTGTTAAACCAGTTATAGCTGACAATAAACCAAGCTTACAAGGTGCCTCAGCCAGTGGGGAATCAATTCCAGTCAAACGACCGTCGGGCAAGAAATTTGTGGTAGCGCAGACATCAAAGTACCGTCACGCCAAAGGTTCTACTAGACATGCTTCTAGCCATATTACAAACATCCGTAACATTGGCAACATTATTTTTGGTGAATGTGATGGGTTTCATGCTAATATCGAAAGGGCTGCAGTGCCATTTGCTGGAGCTGGTGGTCAGATAGGGATATTTGAGGTAAGTCACTAGTTTTATTTAATGAATTGGGGCTAATAGCTATGGATGTGAGTTGAAGTATTAAATAATAATAATAGTTGGATTTGTATAGGTGATTGAGTTTGGTATTTTGATAGTGGGAATTAAAAAAAATGTAGCTCTATAAAACTTGACCTACTTCTTAAACTAAAGCATGGTTGGCTGTTGGCTCCAAGGAGTTCATTCCCCTTTAGTGGTAATGGAGGTAAATTGTGGTTAAAATCTATGGAAGTAAATTGCAGTTAATACAGTTAGCTGAACTAGAGGTAGTCACTGAGGTTCAGTTGCCATAGCTGCTCCAGCTGGAGGGCTGAAATGCAGGTTAAGATAACGCACCGTCTTTTGGATGAGACGTTTAAGCCGTTGGTCCTGCGTGCATTATGAGTCATGTGCATGTTAAAGAATGCTGTACACTCTTCGGAAAGAGTTAGGGGATTGTCTCCCAGTGTACTGCCCAATTTTCTTCGGACTCTTGTGGGTTATCCTTGGTGTTTCCACTGAATAAATCCAATCCAATCCATAAATAGGTGTAATTCGAATTTTCTGTTCTTGAATGAAGCTAAATAAACCTGGACGGCAGCCAGAGAGCGAGATCCCGGCAATACAAAACCAAAGTATGGTGCAAGACTTCAGATGGGATCCCTTCAATAACCACAGACTTGTGATTGCCGGTGAGAACTGCAGAATTAACGTCTTTGACATTCCAGAGGGAGGCCTAGTTGAGTCTATAAATGAGCCAACCTTTTACATGTTAGGTAAGAAACAGCGAAATGTATTTTTGCTTAATCTTAATCTTTTTGTTGTTTTTTTTTTCCCTTGGCAATATGTTTCATTAAACTTAACTGCACTTTTGCTTTACTGCAGGGCACCAGGAGAAGATCCACTTCATTATCTTTCATCCTCTGGCGAAGGACATGCTTCTGTCCGCATCTCTTGACCTGACAATCAGGATTTGGAATCTAGAAACCAGGCAAGAGGTCATGATTCTTAAAGGTCATACTGATCAGGTTAGATGTTTTCTTTACAGAACACAGCATGATTCAATTTCGAGATAATTCTGTGCAAAGTTTGACAGAATGCATTTTGTAAAGATCGTGTTTTTTTGTTTTATTATTGTTACTTATATTTCAATTTTGGTTGAGTTTTTATTTTCCTACTGGAACTTAAATAAGTATTTTAACTTTGATCTCTAAAGTTTACAACAAAAATAAAAACATTAATATTAATGTTTTTTGTTATTTAAATAAAAAATTAGATATATGCTGCTTGCTGGAGTTCGGATGGTACAAGAGTTGCCACTTTATGCAAAGACAAGAAACTACGAATATATGATCCTCGACAGTCCAACATGCCAATCAAGGTAAGGTCCATATATTAAGAGTATTTTTCTCCTGTAGTGTAACTGGCAATTTACACGATGAAGACAACTGTGGGGTCAAAAGTTCAAGTGTCAATAAACCTTATAAAGCCCTGTCCAGACTATCAAATTTCATGCCTAAAAATGGTTATGATGACATCACATCGTGACCATATATAGGCACATCATAACTATATATGGGCATACAACCCAAATCTATAAAGTGCTGTTTGTCTTCAATTTAGTGTTGTTATGATAAAAATTTGACCACTTTGATATTAACTGTTTTCTGAGCTTTTAGCAGTATCTACATTTTATGGTTCTGTGTTTGCAGGAAGTTGATGGGGTGAATACTGGCCGATGCGGTAGGGTTGTTTGGGTCTGTCAGGACCAATGTATCCTGGTATCTGGTTTTAACAGGTAAGATCAAGAGAAACAAATCACAATTCACAGTAGTATGTTCTAAAGCCCTGCCAAGACTACCAAATTTCACTTGACACAAACATGTGACATGCCTAAATATTGTCATGATGACATCACATCATGACCATATACAGATACATCATGACTATATATGGGCATACAACAGTTTTTTTGATAGTCTGGACAGGGTATGGTTAACAGGAAAGAAACTATTTCAAAATGACTGTATCTATTAGGAATTGAACCCAAAACCCTCTGATTTCCATCCTAGTGCTCTACCAACTGAGTCATAGGCCAAGCTTTGGTACTATTATTTGATTTATCTGTTTACTGATTTCGATGTTGAATGAATACTATTTAACACCCCATGTGAAGCAAAATAATTGGGTTTGGTTTTGTGAATGTTTAGTGGTGGCTCCAGAAATTTGCCCACAGGGGTCCAGTATATCAAACAGGAGGTCCAAATCAAGGGGGGCGCCTCAGTCAGCGTCCTGTAATATAATTTCTTAGTAGGGTTCATTGGGGGAATTTTTATGGTTAGTATAACCCAGAATTGTTCTTCTAGACCACAATATTAGGGTTCGGTAATACAAATACTATTATAAATTCATTCTTGGTCTGACAACCTTATTGTGGCGTCGGACGACGGAGGATCCAGGCCTGTCCGACAAGGGAAAAATTTCCTCCTGCCTCCACCACCTCTGTGCATGTTAAAAAGTTCCTGATTTGTGCGATAGTTGTTTATTGCATAGAAACTTGAGAATAGCATATCATGTGGAAAATCCAAAATATTAGACCAACTTTGCCTTTGACTCCAACTAAAAACCAATGCTATCCTGGTTTAAACTGCGGTCCTTGGCGCAAAAAGCAAAGGCATCACCTCCCAGCCAAATACTCAGCTTTTCATACTGATACTGCTATTTTTTTACAGAAATAGTTCCCGTCAGATAAGTTTGTACTCTGTAAGTAATTTGTCGAAAACGTTGAGTGAATTGGTACTGCATGCTACACCCGCCATCTTGATTCCATACTATGATGAGGATACGAATGTTGTCTTCCTTTATGGCAAGGTTGGTAATCATTTCCTAAATTTCATGTTTAAAAAAAAAATACATCTAAAGCCGTTTTTGTATTGGATTAAAGTTGACCACAATGAAGGATATATTGTACCAATGTTCACACTTAAGTTTTAAGGTAGTAAAATTTTGCACATGCGTGGTTAATATAATTGTAGATACACTCTGTGAAAGTACAGAGATGTGCGAAGTATTAGTATCAGCTCAGAAAGATTTTACAGAGGTGCATTGTTCACTTTGGGCTTTTGACGGGAAAAACATCCTGGCTATTTTTCCTGGAGTATCGAGGGGTGCACATCCTCCTTAAAAAACTTAACCCACCACCATTCCCCTATTTTGAAGTAGAACCAATAATAATATGCAAGACTTTTATAGCGCTTAATGCCAACAAGGTCTCTAAGCAGTTCACATTATTACCCCCAGCCCTGGAAAGAATTACATAATTTTGCACATTTTGTGTTTGAGCCTACCAGGTACCCACTTGGGTGGAGAGAGACAACCGTAGGTAAAATGCCTTGCCTAAGTACACAAGCGAAATGCATAGTGAGTGATGTAACCTCTGACCTCAAGATTAAGAAGCAGATCACAACTGCTACTACAATCGCAAAAGTGAATATGCCACTGGATACACATGTTGGGTTAGGCCAATGCAAAAAAAGCTCAAGTAATATTATCAATGTGTGTTATTACTGAAATTATTAATTTGTTTATAATTTATGTTGAATGTTTCCTATGATATTTAATTTCTGGCCTGTTCCATTATTCTTACAGGGAGATGTGTCTATATACATTCTGGAAGTGTCACCTGAGGAACCCTACATATTTGAATGTTCACCATTTAAATTAAACAGCAATTACCAGGTAAATATACCTGTTTTGTTATCCCTGTTATACACAGCAAAAATATGCTGTAAAATCTGTTAAAATAATTACAGGATCTAGAGAGTAAGACCACGGAAAAAACTTACATATTTTAAGCATTTAAATAAACTTTTTTGACATATATTTCTTTCAGGCCGTGTCGTTCTTGCCGAAGGTATCTTGCGTTGTGAAAGATGTTGAGTTTGCTCGTGCCGTTGTGTTGACAAAAATGAACATAGAACCAATATCAATTATAGTACCTCGTGTGAAGGTAAGTATATGAAATGCCTATATATGGTGATGATGACGTCATATCATGACCAAATATAGGCACATCGTGACCATATATAGGCACATCATGACCATATATAGGTACATCATGACTATATATAGGCACATCATGACTATATGGACATATCATGACTATATATATGGGAACATCATGACCATATATAGGCACATCATGACCATATATAGGCACATCATGACCATATATAGGCACATCATGACTATATATAGGCACATCATGACTATATGGGCATATCAT